TCCAGGCACCCATATTCACCAAGGGGAGGTGCCGCCCTGGCTGGGAAGGGGGGGGTTAATCCAGCCCACAACCCTCCCCCAGCACCCAATTTTTGGGGGTGTTGCTAAAGAGGAGGTTGGGGTGTTTGGGGGGGGGTGGTGGTGAGGAGAACAGCCTAGACACTGCCCACACCCCCCCAGGGATGTTGTACCCCCCCCAACCCTGGGCTGGGGAGCGGGGTCACAGGATCCCCAAGGAATGGGCCATCCCCACATACCCACCAGGGATGGGGTCTACTCACCTTTGATGGGGGTTTCTCCACCTCTGGCTTGGCCAAAAAGTGGGGACCAGGGATGTGGGTCACAGGATCCCCAAGGAACGGGCCATCCCCACGTACCCACCAGGGATGGGGTCTACTCGCCTTTGATGGAGGTTTCTCCACCTCTGGCTTGGCCAAAAAAGTGGGGACCAGGGATGTGGGTCACAGGATCCCCAAGGAACGGGCCATCCCCACGTACCCACCAGGGATGGGGTCTACTCGCCTTTGATGGAGGTTTCTCCACCTCTGGCTTGGCCAAAAAAGTGGGGACCAGGGATGTGGGTCACAGGATCCCCAAGGAATGGGCCATCCCCACATACCCACCAGGGATGGGGTCTACTCACCTTTGATGGAGGTTTCTCCACCTCTGGCTTGGCCAAAAAGTGGGGACCAGGGATGTGGGTCACAGGATCCCCAAGGAACGGGCCATCCCCATGTATCCACCAGGGATGGGGTCTACTCACCTTTGATGGAGGTTTCCCCACCTCTGGCTTGGCCACAAAGTGGGGAGCAGGGATGTGGGTCACAGGATCCCCAAGGAACGGGCCATCCCCATGTATCCACCAGGGATGGGGTCTACTCACCTTTGATGGAGGTTTCCCCACCTCTGGCTTGGCCAAAAAGTGGTTGCTGGGGCAAAGCTGCCCAACTATGGGGGGGCTCAGACCCCACCACCTGGGGTGTCACCACCCAGGGGCATCACTTAAAGTGTCACCTTGTAGGTTTTATGAGAAGGTCCAGGCCCTGCACCAGGACCCCAAGGCCTCAGTGGACAACCCCTTGCTGGCCTTCAGCCTCATCAAGCGCCTCCACTCTGACTGGCCCAACATCATCTACAGCAACGAGGCCACTGAGAACATCCAGGGTACGGTGGGATGCTGAGCCACGTGCCCTCTCTGTCATCTGGGGAGAGCCAGGAGGTGATGGGGACCAGGTGGAGTAGCATGGGAATGGTTGGAGGAGCAGGAGAACTGGTGGTGGAGCTGGAAAATGGGTGGAGGAGCAGGAGAACTGGTGGCGGAGCTGGAGAATGGTTGGAGGAGCAGGAGAACTGGTGGTGGAGCTGGAGAATGGGTGGAGGAGCAGGAGAATGGGTGGAGAAGCAGCATGTGGTTTCCCTGGGTTTGAAGAAGGGCTGATAAGTGTGATTGCACCCCAAAAGTACATTAATCCCCCTCCATGCACCCCATTACTGGCCCTCAGCACTCCATGCCGGCTTCAAGGAGGTGGAGCAGGAGCTGCCTGGAGCTGAAGACCTGGACGGGGCTGCCCGGGCACTGATGCGGCTGCAGGACGTCTACGCCCTCAGTGTCAAGGGCATGGCCAACGGAGTCTTCCAGCGAACCGGTGCCGGCCGGCCACCCCTCTACAGCCCCGGTCGGCGTGTCTCCCTCTCTGCCGATGACTGCTTCCACGTGGGCAAGGTGAGGGTGAAACCCATCAGGTCCCACAAAGCCTTTCCAGGCTGGGGTGGTGCTTCTGGAGGGTTAGATGTTGGGTTGAGGGCCCTTCTGACTCCCACCTGCCATGACCTCTTGGTTCTCACCCAAATAACGGGGCTTCTTGCTGCTTCGTGGCTTGGGAAGACCTGAGCTGGTGGCCTGGGGGAGACCTCCTGCCCCAGCAACCCAGTAGGGTATTGAGTTGGGTCCCATCTGCGGGTAAAAGTGGGTCCGTAAATCCCTGGGAGGGGACTTGGGCGCTTTGATAGAGGTTTTTGTTGAGGGCAGAGTCCTCTGAGTGTCACGGCGGAGCTGGGATGGAGTGTCAGAGTGTGGGTTAGGATGGGATAGGGTGGGGTGGGATGGGAAGAGATGGAAGAAGATGGCATGGGATGGCGTGAAATGGAAGTGTAAGTGGAGGTGCAGATGGAGATGATGGAGATGGAGATGGGGTTGGAGATGGAGATGGGGTTGGAGCAGGATGGATGGGGATGGGAGTGGGAGAAGGAAAGGAGCAGATGGGACAGGATGGGATGGCGTGAGATGGAGGTGGAAGTGGAGGTGCAGATGGAGATGGAGCAGGATGGATGGGGATGGGACAGGAAAAGAAGAGATGGGACAGGGTGGGAGGGAATGGAGATGGGGATAGGAAAGCGACAGGATGTGATGGAACAGGATGGATGAGAATTGCAATGGGTTGGGAGGACATGGGATGGGGATGGGATGGAGGTGGGATGGGATGGAGGTGGGCTAGGACAGGATGAGAGAGTAGGGACAGGATGGGAGGGCACAGGAGTGGAATTGGGATGAAGGTGCTCATGGAGAGAGGATGGGATGAGAAGAAGATGGGGATGGGATGGGACAAGGTGGGGATGGGATGCAGGCCAGGTTGGTCCAGCCGGTGGGCCTGGGTGGTGTGCTGTCTCGCAGGTGGCCTATGACACGGGTGACTACTACCACTCCATCGCGTGGCTGGAGGAGGCCGTCGACCTCTTCCGTCTCTCCTACGGCAACTGGAACCCCGAGGACCGGAGCAGCCTGGAGGATGCTCTGGATCATCTCGCCTTCTCCTACTTCATGGTACGGCCGTGAGTCCTACCACCTCAGTGCCTGGTGGAGCTGAACCATGGGCAAGGGGATCTTCATGGGTTCTCCGCTCCCCCCATCCAGGCTGGAAACATCTCCCATGCCTTGAGCCTCTCCAGGGAGTTTCTCCATTACGGTACGTGGGGCAACCTCAGAAGCAGGAGGAGGAGGAGAGAGGTTTTGGGGTGTCCCCACCACCTCTGTATGGCACCAGCCTCCTTCACCCCCTTTCTTGCCCCCACATGGGGTAATTCTCATCAGGGGGGTGATGGGGACGTGGTGTTTTGGGTGACACCACATCTCCGGCAGACCCCAGTAATCAAAGGGTGGTGAGGAACGTGGCCAAGTACAAGAAGCTGCTGGAGATGGGGACAGTGGCGAAGGTTGGACCCCTCCAACGCCCCAACGGCACCCGCCTGCAGAGCCGTGACGCCTACGAGGAGCTGTGCCAGCGCCCGAGGGGGCAGGTGGGACTGTCAGAAGGGTGCCATGGTCCCCCACCCAATCACTGTCCCCCATCTCACACCCTCCTTGGTCTTCTCCAGCCAGCCCCGGAGCATCTTCCACACCTCGGCTGTTCCTACGAGACCAACGGCAACCCCTACCTCCTTCTCCAACCTGCCAAGAAGGAGATGGTCTGGATCCAACCCTACGTGGCTTTGTACCACGATTTCATCAGCGACGCCGAAGCTGAGACCATCAAGGGGTTGGCAGGGCCCTGGGTGAGCCATCCCCATCCCGGGGATGTCCCTGAGGTGGAGGAGGGTGCCCCAAGAGCTAGTGGTCCAGGTTGGACCCCCCTGAGGATGTAGAGATAAGAGGGGTTTTAAGGCAGGGCTTAGCCAAAGTCTTCTGCAAGCAAGACCCTGGTGGTGGGGGGGTGAGCCCAGCTTAGCTCCATCTGAGCCCCCCAAGAGATTTTGGGGAGAAACCAGGTCTATGCATGCACCTAAACTCCTTCCAAGCCAGGTTTGACTTGGTGACACCCAACTGTGTTGGATCCAACTTTTATCACTGGTTCCATCACCCTGGTGGGACATCTTGAGGTGGGGATGTTTGGTAACCAGCTGGTATAAACCCACCAATTTCAACCAATTTCAGTGGGGGGGGGTCCCTGCTTGGTGTTGGGGTCTCCATCTGCAGCAACATACCCTCCCACCATGTGTCCTCCAGCTGCAGAGGTCCGTGGTCGCCTCTGGGGAGAAGCAGCAGAAAGCCGAATACCGGATAAGCAAGAGGTAGTAGCCACCCCCTTCCTTGTCCCCCAACCAGTGGGACCACTGTGGCCCCATTGCCACCACCAAGGTGGCAGTGAAGCCATGCTGGGGTGGCCTGGGTCCTCCACACCCAGCCACATGTGAACCTGGGGGGGCTGAAGGTGGGGTGCTCCCACAGCGCCTGGCTGAAGGACACTGCTGATCCGGTGGTGCGGGCCTTGGAGCAGCGCATCGCCGCTGTCACCGGCCTGGACCTGCGGCCACCCTACGCCGAGTACCTGCAGGTGGTCAACTACGGGTTGGGAGGCCACTACGAGCCACACTTCGACCACGCCACGGTCAGGGAGCTGCTTGGGTGGTGCCCAGGGTGGTTCTTGTGGTGCTCTTGGGATGGGCCTTGAGGGGAACCTGGGGTGGTTCAGGGGGTGCTCTCTCAGATGGTCACCAGGGTGGTCCCTGGGGTGGTCCCTGAGGTAGTCTTTGGGGTGGTCTCTGGGCTGGTGCCCAAGGGGACTGTGTCCTTGGGGTGGTTCCCAAGATGGTCTCTGGAATAATTCCTCATATGTCCCTGGAGCTGGACCTTGGGGTGGTTCCTGGGGTGGTTCCTAGGGTGGTCTCTGGGCTGGTCCCTCAGCTGTTCCTGGAGGTGGACCCTGGGGTGATCTCTGCGATGGTGCCTGGGCCAGGGGGGGTATCCCTGGGGTGGTCCTTGGGGTGGTTCTCAAGATGGCCTCTGGGATAATTCCTCATCTGTCCCTGGAGATGGCCCATGGGGTGGTTCCTGGGGTGGTTCCTAGGGTGGTCTCTGGGCTGGTCCCTCAGCTGTTCCTGGAGGTGGACCCTGGGGTGATCTCTGCGATGGTGCCTGGGCCAGGGGGGGTATCCCTGGGGTGGTCCTTGGGGTGGTTCTCAAGATGGCCTCTGGGATAATTCCTCATCTGTCCCTGGAGATGGCCCATGGGGTGGTTCCTGGGGTGGTTCCTAGGGTGGTCTCTGGGCTGGTCCCTCAGCTGTTCCTGGAGGTGGACCCTGGGGTGATCTCTGCGATGGTGCCTGGGCCAGGGGGGGTATCCCTGGGGTGGTCCTTGGGGTGGTTCTCAAGATGGCCTCTGGGATAATTCCTCATCTGTCCCTGGAGATGGCCCATGGGGTGGTTCCTGGGGTGGTTCCTAGGGTGGTCTCTGGGCTGGTGCCCAAGGGGACTGTGTCCTTGGGGTGGTTCCCAAGATGGTCTCTGGAATAATTCCTCATATGTCCCTGGAGGTGGACCCTGGGGTGATCTCTGCGATGGTGCCTGGGCCAGGGGGTGTATCCCTGGGGTGGTCCTTGGGGTGGTTCTCAAGATGGTCTCTGGGATAGTTCCTCATATGTCCCTGGAGATGGACCTTGGGGTGGGCCTGGTGTGGTCCTTGGGGTGGTTCTCAAGACGGTCTCTGGGATAATTCCTCATATGTCCCTGGAGATGGACCCTGGGGTGGTTCCTGGGGTGGTTCCTAGGGTGGTCTGTGGGCTGGTCCCTCAGCTGTTCCTGGAGGTGGACCCTGGGGTGAGCTCTGGGATGGTGCCTGGGCCAGGGGGTGTATCCCTGGTGTGGTCCTTGGGGTGGTTCCCAAGATGGTCTCTGGGATAGTTCCTCATATGTCCCTGGAGATGGACCTTGGGGTGGTTCCTGGGGTGGTTCCTAGGGTGGTATCTGGGCTGGTCCCTCAGCTGTTCCTGGAGGTGGACCCTGGGGTGACCTCTGGGATGGTGCCTGGGTCGGGGGGGTGTATCCCTGGTGTGGTCCTTGGGGTGGTTCCCAAGATGGTCTCTGGGATAGTTCCTCATATGTCCCTGGAGATGGACCTTGGGGTGGTTCCTGGGGTGGTTCCTAGGGTGGTCTCTGGGCTGGTCCCTCAGATGTTCTTGGAGATGGACCCTGGGGTGATGCCCTTGATGCTCCTGGGATGGTTACCTGGGGATGGGTCCCTGGGGGTGGCCCCACGGTGATCACTGGGATGGTCCCTCAGATGTTCTTGGAGGTGGACCCTGGGGTGATGCTCTGAGATGGTTGCCTGGGGGTAGGTCCCTGGGGGTGGCCCCACGGTGATCCCTGGGATGGTTCCTGGGATGTTCCTGGAAAGGGAAGGAAGGAAGAGGGGGGAGGAAAGACAAGAAGGGAGAGGGAGAGGTTTTCCCTGGGGACAGCTCAGAGCCACCAGCTCTGGTTGGGCGTGAGGTACCTCCAGACGGAGCTGTGGCAGATGGGACTGACTGTCCCCACCTCCTCGCTCTTGGGGCAGTCCAGGAAGAGCCCCCTTTACAGAATGAAGTCAGGCAACAGGATCGCCACCGTCATGATCTACGTAAGTGTGTCCCCCCTCTTAATTTCTGGGCCTAGAGAGAGAGACTGGTCATCAGTAGGGTTCAGAGTGAACAAGGTTTGAGATGGGTGAGGACAGCCTTAAATCTGACCACGGTGGGGTGTTAAATGACCATCTGCAGAGTATTTAAGAGCATGTGTCCCAGCAAGGGGACACATTGGGGACGGGGGGGACACCAAGGGAGGTTCTGTGCCTCAATTTCCCCATTGCAAAGTGGTCCCATCAGAGGTGGGGGGAGGAGAAGAGGGGCCATGGCTCATCTTTTTTGCTCCTTTTCCCAGCTGAGCGCGGTGGAAGCCGGAGGTTCCACCGCCTTCGTCTACGCCAACTTCAGCGTGCCCGTGGTTAAGGTGAGGGAGACCCACACGACCTCCCCCCACAAGTTGGGGTGGGGGACGCTGCTGTGTCTCATCTCCTGCAGGGACTCATGGTCTGATCTGTTTTGGGGGTGCCAAACCCAAACCCTGGGGCTCCTGGCTCCCTTTGAGGAGAACCAAACCCCAACCCTAGAGCTGCAGGCTCTGTTTTGGGGGGCAAACCCCAACCCCAGGGCTCCCATCTGTGTTTTGGGGCATCAAACCCCAATCCAGGGCTTCCATCCATGTTTTGGGGGTGCCAAACCCCCACCTTGGAGGTCCTTGCTCCCTTTGAGGAGAACCAAACCCCAACCCTAGAGCTGCAGGCTCTGTTTTGGGGGGCCAAACCCCAACCCCCAGGCTCCCATCCATGTTTTGGGGTGTCAAACCCCTGCCTTGGGGGTCCTGGCTCCCTTTGAGGAGAACCCAACCCCAACCCTAGAGTTGCAGGCTCTGTTTTGGGGGGCCAAACCCCAACCCCGGGGCTCCCAGGTCTATTTTGGGGGTGCCAAACCTCAACCCTGGGGCTCCTGGCTCCCTCTGAGGAGAACCAAACCCCAACCCTAGAGCTGCAGGCCCTGTTTTGGGGGGCCAAACCCCAACCCCGGGGCTCCCAGGTCTATTTTGGGGGTGTCAAACCCCCACCTTGGGGCTCCTGGCTCCCTTCGACGAGAACCAAACCCCAACCCTAGAGCTGCAGGCTCTGTTTTGGGGGGTCAAACCCCAGGGCTCCCAGGTCTATTTTGGGGTACCAAACCCCAACCCCGGGACTCTCTGAGCTGTTTTGGGGTGCCAAACCCCCACCTTGGGGGTGTTTGCTCCCTTTGAGGAGAACCAAACCCCAACCCTTGAGCTGCAGGCTCTGTTTTGGGGGGGCAAACCCCAACCCCGGGGCTTCCATCTATGTTTTGGGTGGTCAAACCCCAACCCCGGGGCTCCCATCTGTGTTTTGGGGGGTCAAACCCCAATTCGGGGCTCCCAGGTCTATTTTGGGGGTGCCAAACCCCAACCCTGGGGCTCTTGGGTCCCTTCGAGGAGAACCAAACCCCAACCCTAGAGCTGCAGGCTCTGTTTTGGGGGGCCAAACCCCAACCCCGGGGCTCCCATCTGTGTTTTGGGGGGTCAAACCCCAACCCCGGGGCTCTCTGATCTATTTTGGGGGTGTCAAACCCCCACCTTGGGGGTCCTGGCTCCCTTTGAGGAGAACCAAACCCCAACCCTAGAGCTGCAGGCTCTGTTTTGGGGGGCAAACCCCAACCCCGGGGCTCCTGTCTCCCTCTGAGGAGAACCAAACCCCAACCCTAGAGCTGCAGGCCCTGTTTTGGGGGCCAAACCCCAACCCCGGGGCTCCCATCTGTGTTTTGGGGGGTGAAACCCCAACCCCAGGGCTCCCTGATCTGTTTTGGGGGGTCAAACCCCAGCCCCGGGGCTCCCTGATATGTTTTGGGGGTGCCAACCCCCAACCCTGGGGCTCTTGGGTCCCTTCGAGGAGAACCAAACCTCAACCCTAGAGCTGCAGGCTCTGTTTTGGGGGGTCAAACCCCAACTCCAGGACTCTCTGATCTGTTTTGGGGGTGCCAAACCCCCACCTTGGGGGTGTTTGCTCCCTTTGAGGAGAACCAAACCCCAACCCTTGAGCTGCAGGCTCTGTTTTGGGGGGGCAAACCCCAACCCCGGGGCTTCCATCTATGTTTTGGGTGGTCAAACCCCAACCCCGGGGCTCCCATCTGTGTTTCGGGGGGTCAAACCCCAACCCCGGGGCTTCCATCTATGTTTTGGGGGGTCAAACCCCAACCCCGGGGCTTCCATCTATGTTTTGGGGGGTCAAACCCCAACCCCGGGGCTTCCATCTATGTTTTGGGGGGTCAAACCCCAACCCCGGGGCTTCCATCTATGTTTTGGGGGGTCAAACCCCAACCCCGGGGCTTCCATCTATGTTTTGGGGGGTCAAACCCCAACCCCGGGGCTTCCATCTATGTTTTGGGGGGTCAAACCCCAACCCCGGGGCTTCCATCTATGTTTTGGGGGGTCAAACCCCAACCCCGGGGCTTCCATCTATGTTTTGGGGGGTCAAACCCCAACCCCGGGGCTTCCATCTATGTTTTGGGGGGTCAAACCCCAACCCCGGGGCTTCCATCTATGTTTTGGGGGGTCAAACCCCAACCCCGGGGCTTCCATCTATGTTTTGGGGGGTCAAACCCCAACCCCGGGGCTTCCATCTATGTTTTGGGGGGTCAAACCCCAACCCCGGGGCTTCCATCTATGTTTTGGGGGGTCAAACCCCAACCCCGGGGCTTCCATCTATGTTTTGGGGGGTCAAACCCCAACTCCAGGACTCTCTGATCTGTTTTGGGGGTGCCAAACCCCCACCTTGGGGGTCCTGGCACCCTTTGAGGAGAACCAAACCCCAACCCTAGAGCTGCAGGCTCTGTTTTGGGGGGCAAACCCCAACCCCGGGGCTCCTGTCTCCCTCTGAGGAGAACCAAACCCCAACCCTAGAGCTGCAGGCTCTGTTTTGGGGGGCAAACCCCAACCCCGGGGCTCCTGTCTCCCTCTGAGGAGAACCAAACCCCAACCCTAGAGCTGCAGGCTCTGTTTTGGGGGGCAAACCCCAACCCCGGGGCTCCTGTCTCCCTCTGAGGAGAACCAAACCCCAACCCTAGAGCTGCAGGCTCTGTTTTGGGGGGCAAACCCCAACCCCGGGGCTCCTGTCTCCCTCTGAGGAGAACCAAACCCCAACCCTAGAGCTGCAGGCCCTGTTTTGGGGGCCAAACCCCAACCCCGGGGCTCCCATCTGTGTTTTGGGGGGTGAAACCCCAACCCCAGGGCTCCCTGATCTGTTTTGGGGGGTCAAACCCCAGCCCCGGGGCTCCCTGATATGTTTTGGGGGTGCCAACCCCCAACCCTGGGGCTCTTGGGTCCCTTCGAGGAGAACCAAACCTCAACCCTAGAGCTGCAGGCTCTGTTTTGGGGGGTCAAACCCCAACTCCAGGACTCTCTGATCTGTTTTGGGGGTGCCAAACCCCCACCTTGGGGCTCCTGTCTCCCTCTGAGGAGAATCAAACCCCAACCCTAGAGCTACAGGCCCTGTTTTGGGGGCCAAACCCCAACCCCGGGGCTCCCATCCATGTTTTGGGGGGTGAAACCCCAACCCTGGGGCTCCCTGATCTGTTTTGGGGGTGCCAACCCCCAACCCTGGGGCTCTTGGGTCCCTTCGAGGAGAACCAAACCCCAACCCTAGAGCTGCAGGCTCTGTTTTGGGGGGCCAAACCCCAACCCCAGGGCTCCCATCTGTGTTTTGGGGGGTCAAACCTCAATCCAGGGCTCCCAGGTCTATTTTGGGGGTGCCAAGCCTCAACCCCAGGCTCCCAGCTCCATTTTGGGGTTCCAAACCCCCACCTTGGGGGTCCTGGCTCCCTTTGAGGAGAACCAAACCTCAACCCTAGAGCTGCAGGCTCTGTTTTGTGGGGCCAAACCCCAATCCGGAGCTCCCATCTGTGTTTTGGGGGGTCAAACTCCAAGCCCGGGGCTCCCTGAGCTGTTTTGGGGTACCAAACCCCAACTCTGGGGCTCCCTGATCTGTTTTGGGGGTGTCAAACCCCCACCTTGGGGCTCTTGGCTCCCTTTGAGGAGAACCAAACCCCAACCCTAGAGCTGCAGGCTCTGTTTTGGGGGGTCAAACCCCAACCCCGGGGCTCCCATCTGTGTTTTGGGGGGTCAAACCCCAACCCCCAGGCTCCCAGCTCCATTTTGGGGTTCCAAACCCCTGCCCTGGGGCTCCTGGCTCTGTTTTAGGGGGGGCAGACCTCAACCCTGGGGCTCCCAGCTCCATTTTGGGGTTCCTAACCCAAATTCTGGGGCTCCTGGCTCTGTTTCAGGGGTTCCTAACCCAAATTCTGGGGCTTCTGGCTCTGTTTTTGGGGTTCCAAACCCCAATTCTGGGGCTTCTGGCCCTGTTTTTGGGGTTCCAAACCCCAACCCAGAGCTCCCAGCTCTATTTAGCCTCAACCCCAGGCTCCCAGCTCCATTTTGGGGTTCCAAACCCCCACCTTGGGGGTCCTGGCTCCCTTTGAGGAGAACCAAACCTCAACCCTAGAGCTGCAGGCTCTGTTTTGTGGGGCCAAACCCCAATCCGGAGCTCCCATCTGTGTTTTGGGGGGTCAAACTCCAAGCCCGGGGCTCCCTGAGCTGTTTTGGGGTACCAAACCCCAACTCTGGGGCTCCCTGATCTGTTTTGGGGGTGTCAAACCCCCACCTTGGGGCTCTTGGCTCCCTTTGAGGAGAACCAAACCCCAACCCTAGAGCTGCAGGCTCTGTTTTGGGGGGCAAACCCCAACCCCGGGGCTCCTGTCTCCCTCTGAGGAGAACCAAACCCCAACCCTAGAGCTGCAGGCCCTGTTTTGGGGGCCAAACCCCAACCCCGGGGCTCCCATCTGTGTTTTGGGGGGTGAAACCCCAACCCCAGGGCTCCCTGATCTGTTTTGGGGGGTCAAACCCCAGCCCCGGGGCTCCCTGATATGTTTTGGGGGTGCCAACCCCCAACCCTGGGGCTCTTGGGTCCCTTCGAGGAGAACCAAACCTCAACCCTAGAGCTGCAGGCTCTGTTTTGGGGGGTCAAACCCCAACTCCAGGACTCTCTGATCTGTTTTGGGGGTGCCAAACCCCCACCTTGGGGCTCCTGTCTCCCTCTGAGGAGAATCAAACCCCAACCCTAGAGCTACAGGCCCTGTTTTGGGGGCCAAACCCCAACCCCGGGGCTCCCATCCATGTTTTGGGGGGTGAAACCCCAACCCTGGGGCTCCCTGATCTGTTTTGGGGGGTCAAACCCCAGCCCCGGGGCTCCCTGATATGTTTTGGGGGTGCCAACCCCCAACCCTGGGGCTCTTGGGTCCCTTCGAGGAGAACCAAACCTCAACCCTAGAGCTGCAGGCTCTGTTTTGGGGGGTCAAACCCCAACTCCAGGACTCTCTGATCTGTTTTGGGGGTGCCAAACCCCCACCTTGGGGCTCCTGTCTCCCTCTGAGGAGAATCAAACCCCAACCCTAGAGCTACAGGCCCTGTTTTGGGGGCCAAACCCCAACCCCGGGGCTCCCATCCATGTTTTGGGGGGTGAAACCCCAACCCTGGGGCTCCCTGATCTGTTTTGGGGGTGCCAACCCCCAACCCTGGGGCTCTTGGGTCCCTTCGAGGAGAACCAAACCCCAACCCTAGAGCTGCAGGCTCTGTTTTGGGGGGCCAAACCCCAACCCCAGGGCTCCCATCTGTGTTTTGGGGGGTCAAACCTCAATCCAGGGCTCCCAGGTCTATTTTGGGGGTGCCAAGCCTCAACCCCAGGCTCCCAGCTCCATTTTGGGGTTCCAAACCCCCACCTTGGGGGTCCTGGCTCCCTTTGAGGAGAACCAAACCTCAACCCTAGAGCTGCAGGCTCTGTTTTGTGGGGCCAAACCCCAATCCGGAGCTCCCATCTGTGTTTTGGGGGGTCAAACTCCAAGCCCGGGGCTCCCTGAGCTGTTTTGGGGTACCAAACCCCAACTCTGGGGCTCCCTGATCTGTTTTGGGGGTGTCAAACCCCCACCTTGGGGCTCTTGGCTCCCTTTGAGGAGAACCAAACCCCAACCCTAGAGCTGCAGGCTCTGTTTTGGGGGGTCAAACCCCAACCCCGGGGCTCCCATCTGTGTTTTGGGGGGTCAAACCCCAACCCCCAGGCTCCCAGCTCCATTTTGGGGTTCCAAACCCCTGCCCTGGGGCTCCTGGCTCTGTTTTAGGGGGGGCAGACCTCAACCCTGGGGCTCCCAGCTCCATTTTGGGGTTCCTAACCCAAATTCTGGGGCTCCTGGCTCTGTTTCAGGGGTTCCTAACCCAAATTCTGGGGCTTCTGGCTCTGTTTTTGGGGTTCCAAACCCCAATTCTGGGGCTTCTGGCCCTGTTTTTGGGTCCAGGGCTCCCAGGTCTATTTTGGGGGTGCCAAGCCTCAACCCCAGGCTCCCAGCTCCATTTTGGGGTTCCAAACCCCCACCTTGGGGGTCCTGGCTCCCTTTGAGGAGAACCAAACCCCAACCCTAGAGCTGCAGGCTCTGTTTTGGGGGGTCAAACCCCAACCCCGGGGCTCCCATCTGTGTTTTGGGGGGTCAAACCCCAACCCCCAGGCTCCCAGCTCCATTTTGGGGTTCCAAACCCCTGCCCTGGGGCTCCTGGCTCTGTTTTTGGGGGGGCAGACCTCAATTCTGGGGCTCCCAGCTCCATTTTGGGGTTCCTAACCCAAATTCTGGGGCTCCTGGCTCTGTTTCAGGGGTTCCTAACCCAAATTCTGGGGCTTCTGGCTCTGTTTTTGGGGTTCCAAACCCCAATTCTGGGGCTTCTGGCCCTGTTTTTGGGGTTCCAAACCCCAACCCAGAGCTCCCAGCTCTATTTTGGGCTTCCAAACCCGAATTCTGGGGCTCCCAGCTCCATTTTTGGGGTTCTAAACCCCAATGGTGGGGCTCCTGGCTCTGTTTTTGGGGTTCCAAACCCCAATTCTGGGGCTCGCAGCTCCATTTTGGGGTTCCTGGCTCTGTTTTTGGGGTTCCTAACCCAAATTCTGGGGCTCCCAGCTCCATTTTGGGATTCCAACCCCAACCTTAGAACTCCCAGCTCCATTTTGGGGTTCCAAACCCCAATTCTGGGGCTTCTGGCCCTGTTTTTGGGGTTCCAAACCCCAACCCAGAGCTCCCAGCTCTATTTTGGGCTTCCAAACCCGAATTCTGGGGCTCCCAGCTCCATTTTTGGGGTTCTAAACCCCAATGGTGGGGCTCCTGGCTCTGTTTTTGGGGTTCCAAACGCCAATTCTGGGGCTCGCACCTCCATTTTGGGGTTCCTGGCTCTGTTTTTGGGGTTCCTAACCCAAATTCTGGGGCTCCCAGCTCCATTTTGGGATTCCAACCCCAACCTTAGAACTCCCAGCTCCATTTTGGGGTTCCAAACCCCAATTCTAGGGCTTCTGGCCCTGTTTTTGGGGTTCCAAACCCCAATTCTAGGGCTTCTGGCCCTGTTTTTGGGGTTCCAAACCCCAATTCTAGGGCTTCTGGCCCTGTTTTTGGGGTTCCAAACCCCAATTCTGGGGCTCCTGGCTCTGTTTTTGGGGTTCCAAACGCCAATTCTGGGGCTCGCACCTCCATTTTGGGGTTCCTGGCTCTGTTTTTGGGGTTCCTAACCCAAATTCTGGGGCTCCCAGCTCCATTTTGGGATTCCAACCCCAACCTTAGAACTCCCAGCTCCATTTTGGGGTTCCAAACCCCAATTCTGGGGTTCCTGGCTCTGTTTTAGGGGTTCCAAACCCCAGTTCTGGGGTTTCTGTCTCTGTTTTTGGGGTTCCAAACCCCAACCCAGAGCTCCCAGCTCTATTTTTGGGGTTCCAAACCCCAATTCTGGGGCTCCTGGCTCTTTTTTTTTGGGGTACCAAGCCCCGGGGCATCCCACTCTCTGCTCCACAGAACGCAGCTCTCTTCTGGTGGAACCTACGGAGGAACGGGGACGGTGACGGGGACACCCTACACGCCGGCTGCCCCGTCCTGGCCGGGGACAAGTGGGGTGAGAGACGGTGCCTGGTGTCACCCTGGGGTGCCACGGGGGTTGGAGGGGCAGCTCTTCTGGGGCTGGGGAGGGGGGGAGGCGAGAGGAACCCAGAAAATCCTGGATTATAGGGTCGGAGAGGGGGTTCAAGGGGACAGGGACAGATGGGGGTCCTTGTCCTTGTCCCTTCCAGTGGCGAATAAGTGGATCCACGAGCACGGGCAGGAGTTTCGGAGGCCGTGCAGCGCCGACCCACAAGACTGAGCCGCCGTGGCCACGAGGACATGGCACCCAGGGGTGACAAAGCCACCCCGGGGCAGCGTGTCCCCGAGGCTGCAGCAAGAGGAGGGAGGGCAGGGGGTGGCAGTGGCGTGGGGTGCTACTGGGGGGTGCTACTGGGGTGGGGGGGGTGGCACTCGCTGAGCTGTGGGGTGAAAATAAAGTCAAAAGACACTAAACTGGAGTCTGGTGGAATCACACCTCGGTGTGGTACCTGATGGGATGATTTGGGGAGGGCAGGGGGGTATCTGTGTCCCCCACCCACCCCTAATTTCAGCCTGGACCCTAAATGTACCCTCAACGTCCTCCTCCAGCCCTAAATGAAAAGTCCCTCCATTAAAAGGACTGGCATTTGGTGACACACAGCATTTCCGCCGTAATCAGTAGGCTTCAGAGTGAACGGATCGGCGATAGAGCCCCAGAGCCTTCTCAAGGCATTCTCCTTCCTCAAATAAACCTCCCCCAAAGCCTGGCTGCATCTCGGGCCCCCTTTGTGCAGCCCCACACTCCGTTTTCTCCCCAAACAACAGCACGGGGGGCTCTCCCCCTCTCCCCTGCACCCCAAGAAGGGTGGGAAGGAGAAGGAAGCTGCTGCCTTCCAGCCGCCCTGGCCCCCAGCCTGCCCATGTTTGTGCCAAGGCCGATCCCCCGGGGGGGCTCTGCAGACAAGCTCCCTTTTTTCTCCTGCGTGACTGGAAGGCAAAAAAAAAGGGAAGAGGGATCTCCAGCAACGGCTGGAGATCAGGCAGGGAACCTGATCCACTCTCCCCGGGCATTCAGGATCTGGGACAGCCCGGATAAAGCCAGGATCAAGCAGGAGGAGACCATCACCCCCCACTTAAAAACTCCCCAACTCCATCCAGCCTCATTAAAAAAGACATCAAGGTGCTGGAGCGGGTCCAGAGAAGGGCGACAAAGCTGGTGAGGGGTCTGGAGAATAAGTCTGATGAGGAGAGGCTGAGGGAGCTGGGGTTCTTCAGCCTGGAGAAGAGGAGGCTGAGGGGAGACCTTATTGCTCTCTACAACTACCTGAAAGGAGGGTGTAGAGAGGTGGGGGTCGGTCTCTTTTCTCAAGTCACAGGCAACAGGACGAGAGGAAATGGCCTCAAGTTGCACCAGGGGAGGTTCAGGCTGGATATTAGGAAAAATTTTTTCACTGAAAGGGTCATCAGCCATTGGAATGGGCTGCCCAGGGAGGTGGTTGAGGCCCCATCCCTGGAGGTGTTCAAAAGACGGGTTGATGTAGTGCTGGGAGGTATGGTTTAGTGATGGTGATGCTCCTTGTTTGTTGTGTGGGTGTCTATTTTTGTCAGTTAGGTTGACAGTTGGACAAGATGATCTTTAAGGTCCCTTCCAACCTAGAAGATTCTGTGATTCTGTGATCTCCGCGAGGTTTGGACGCCGTTAAAATCCTCCCGGGATGGAGAGGCAGCGGGTACCGCACCCTGGGGAGGCTCCAGGTCCCCCCCATCACCTCTCTAGATAAAAGGAAAACAACAAAAATTGGGGAAGGCGAATAAAAACTCCACGCATATCCCTCTCAAGGCTCTCCTGCTCATTTTGGGTTCAAAAATGTGTATTTATCACTCCGGGGCTGTTTATCCAGCCCTGGATTAAGCCATCCACATTTAGGGATGAGGAGAATGAGCACAGGGCTCCAGCCCCCCCCCACCGCCGTAGGAGGATGCTACAGGAGCCCTGAACCCTGCTTGAATGTAAAATTTCAGAGCAAATTTCCCCAAATTCCTACTTTTCAGACAGGGATAACATTCCCAGCCCTCTAAAACAGAGGCTCCGAGGCAGCACGGGTTCCGTGACAGCCGGGGTTTATTACTTTCAGATGTTTCTGGACACGTGGGAGCCCTGGCTGGGGGAGAGGAGGGGGAAAAAGCAAAAGCTGTGGCTAAAAACACCCTCCCCCCAAGGCTGGAGCGCGGAGAAGGGACGGACGGGGGAATATTTCACTGAATTTCACTGAATTTTAGAGTTGGAAGGGACCATAGAGATCATCTAGTCCCACTCCCCTGCTGAAGCAGGATTGCCTAGAGCTAGAGCATGTTACTCAGGACTGCATCCAGGCGGGTCTTGAAAATCTCCAAAGAAGGGGACTCCACACCCTCCCTGGGCAGCCTGTTCCAGGGCTCCGTCACCCTCACCGTGAAGAAGTTTCTCCTCATATTTGAGTGGAACCTCTTATGTTCCAACTTGTGCCCGTTGCCCCTCGTCCTCTCACTGGGAACCACTGAAAAGAGTCTGGCTCCCTCCTCCTTCAACCCTCCCTTGAGATACTTGTAGGCATTGATAAGGTCTCCCCTCAGCCTTCTCTTCTCCAGACTAAAGAGTCCCAGCTCTCTCAGTCTCTCCTCATAAGGGAGATGCTCCAATCCTTGAATCATCTTTGTTGCCCTTCGCTGGACTCTTTCCAGTAGTTCCCTGTCCCTCTTGAACTGGGGAGCCCAGAACTGGACGCAGGATTCCAGTTGTGGCCTCACCAGTGCAGAGTAGAGGAGGAGAATGACCTCCCTTGACCTGCTGGCCACACTCTTCCCTATGCAACCCAAGATACCATTGGCCTTCCTGGCTGCAAGAGCACACTGTTTACTCATTGTCATTTTACTGTCCACCAGGACCCCTAGATCTTTCTCTTCAGTAGTTGCCTCCAGCAGGTCCACCCCTAACCTGTACTGGTACCTGACATTTTTCTTCCCCAGGTGCAGGATCCTGCACTTTTCCTTGTTGAACCTCATGAGGGACGAGGCTGACAGGGGACACAGAGCGGGGTCTGCAGAGAACTGACACACTCACACACACACACGTGTATTTTCCATTGGGAAACAGCAGCCTGTGGGAAGAGGTCACCCCAAGGGACTGGGAAAGCTTGGTCTAAACTGGAGCAAAGCTTGGAGAGATCACCCAAGAGTTATCCCGGAGATTTCAGATGCCGGACGGACACGGCGCAGCCCGACGGATGGATCACGAGGCTGACAGGGGACACAGAGCGGGGTCTGCAGAGAACTGACACACACACACACACACACGTGTATTTTCCATTGGGAAAGAGCAGCCCGTGGAAAGAGGTCACCCCAAAGGGACTGGGAAAGCTTGGTCTAAACTGGAGCAAAGCTTGGAGAGATCACCCAAGAGTTATCCCGGAGATTTCGGATGCCGGACGGACACGGCGCAGCCCAACGGATGGATCAGGGATACAACAGAGCAAGTGGAGCCCCCAGGCTCAGAGGTGGGTGTTAGGACACCCCACGGCCAAGTTTTCTTGGAAATGGCAACCCATAAACCAATTTTTTTGACTTTACCTAAAGATCTAAGGTTAGATTTTCTCCGGAGGGTTGAGCACCAGTTCAAACCAGTGAACGGCTGGTCGCCATTTTCTCAGGAGGGTTGAGCACCAGTTCAAACCAGTGAACGGCTGGTCGCCAGACACCTCTGAAGGTCTCACCTCCCAAGCCCTTCAAGATAAAATGGGAGGAGAAACCATGGGATACGACAGAGTGAACGGAGCCCCCAGGCTCAGAGACAGGTGTTAGGACACCCCATGGCCAAGTTTTCTTGGAAATGGCAACCCATAAACCAATTTTTTTGACTTTACTTAAAGATCTAAGGTCTAGATTTTCTCAGGAGGGTTGAGCACCAGTTCAAACCAGTGAACGGCTGGTCGCCATTTTCTCAGGAGGGTTGAGCACCAGTTCAAACCAGTGAACGGCTGGTCGCCAGACACCTCTGAAGGTCTCACCTCCCAAGCCCTTCAAGATAAAATGGGAGGAGAAACCATTCTATGATTCTATGATTCTAAATACACTGGGGTCCAGGAGGTGGAGATGGACACTGCACAGCCCAACGGATGGATCAAGGATATGACAGAGTGAGCAGAGCCCCCAGGCTCAGAGATGGGTGTTAGGACACCCCATGGCCAAGTTTTCTTGGAAATGGCAACCCATAAACCAATTTTTTTGACTTTACCTAAAGATCTAAGGTCTAGATATTCTCACCAGTGAACGGCTGGTCGCCATTTTCTCAGGAGGGTTGAGGACCAGTTCAAACCAGTGAACGGCTGGCCACCAGACACCTCTGAAGGTCTCACCTCCCAAGCCCTTCAAGATAAAAGGGAAGGGAAGGAGAAATACCAACACTGGGGTCCAGGAGGTGGAGAACATCAGCACAAAACGGTTTGCTCTCTTTGGTCCAGCACCTACTGGGTGCTCCCCAGTTCACCCAGCTCCCCGTTGAACGTGACAGGACACTGATGAAGTCTGTGGAGTCACCTCCAGCCGCAATTAACCTCGGTATTTTTAATTGGCCTTGGCATCGCCTCCCGCTCCCTTCCCACCTGGACCGGGATGGGCTGAAGACAAAAAAGATAAGGTTTAAAATAAATAAAAAGCAAGCTCCATATAGGAATGTGGTTTGGGAACTATTTGAACACCCAGTGTCTGTGTCGGTACCTATGGATCACCCAGACGGGCAGCCGAGCTCTGCCTTGGCAGGATCTGTATTTGAAGTAAAACTACCCCATTTTGGCAACACTGGAAATACCTTTTTTCCAACAATCCCAACGCTCCTGGAACCTCAGCACAAAACGGTTTGCTCTCTTTGGTCCAGCACCTACTGGGTGCTCCCCAGTTCACCCAGCTCCCCGTTGAACGTGACAGGACACTGATGAAGTCTGTGGAGTCACCTCCAGCCGCAATTAACCTCGGTATTTTTAATTGGCCTTGGCATCGCCTCCCGCTCCCTTCCCACCTGGACCGGGATGGGCTGAAGACAAAAAAGATAAGGTTTAAAATAAATAAAAAGCAAGCTCCATATAGGAATGTGGTTTGGGAACTATTTGAACACCCAGTGTCTGTGTCGGTACCTATGGATCACCCAGACGGGCAGCCGAGCTCTGCCTTGGCAGGATCTGTATTTGAAGTAAAACTACCCCATTTTGGCAACACTGGAAATACCTTTTTTCCAACAATCCCAACGCTCCTGGAACCTCCATAGAACCCAGGAGCTGGCAAACCCATCCTAGGTCTGATGTGAAAAATTTAAGAAGCGAACCCTGCGACAAACCAGCCTCTCAAATGGCATCTTCTGCTCCTGTCCAGCCTTGAGATTTTCCATCATGAAAGTTTCCACCAATCCTCAATCCAACAACTGGAACAAAAGTGAGAAAGTGTCCTAAATATGTCTCTCTAAGTGAGAGATACCGAAATATGTCCCTGATGAACTTCAACAAAGGCAGGTGTAGGGTGCTGCACCTGGGGAGGAATAACCCCATGGACCAGGACAGGTTGGGGGGGACCTGCTGGAGAGCAGCTCTGAGGAGCAAGACCTGGCAGTCCTGGTGGACAACAGGATGCCCAGGAGCCAGCAATGGGCCCTGGTG